GAGAGAGAGAGAGAGAGAGAGAGAGAGAGAGAGAGAGAGAGAGAAAGGGAGCAAACTAAGCAGGTAACGCAGATTCATGGTCGTAATGTCATGTACTTAATGCCATATTGCCATTCCGTTTGCCATGTATCGATTCACATTTTGTTTGGTTCGTGTTCTTGTTGCTTCGATTTTACTGTTGCTTTTATTGTTCTTGCTGCTCTTCTATCATACGATCTCAATGTGCTTGCCGTGTGCTACAACCTTTTCGTTTCGGGTGTATGTGTTGTATTGTAAGCGGGCCCATGAACAAAGAATCAACTTTGAACAAAATATTTTCCAACCTTACACAACGCTAATGCCAGGCATAACAACGCACGTAGTCACCGATAAAAGATGTGACGTCGCTTGGATCTCGACATACACACTCCATGTATTTGTATGTATATATATATATATACATATATACACCGAGCCAATGTACCCGATCCGCTGCTGCTGCTGGCACACATTCCATTCTACACTGTGTTCCGATAGAGCACTCTCTGTGTTTTCGTATGGAGGAGCACGGTGGCACGGATAGAGAGCGACTTGGTGCTCGATTCCACAGGCAGATGTGAGCGAGCGAGAAGTGAATGCGAGAGATCCCAACGTAAACACAATTTTCCACTTACCAAGTGAATTTATATTTTGTGCCGTGGTGTGGTTTACTTACCATTTGTTATTGGTTGTTCGTTCAGTTTTCCGCCGACCGTTCGCACGAAAGAACCCTCCTGCGCTCGAATCTGTTGAGAAACAGAAAGAAAAATTATTAATAGAAAAGAGAATAGATGTAAGAATTCAAATGCTTTTGGTATTTTCGGTTAAAATAAAAATTGTTCCAGTTCAAACAGCAATAGCAACAACGAAAATCATTCGTTTATTTGCGGTTTGCCTTCGAAATAAAATTGGATTTTTGTCATTTTCCGAAACCCACAACAAATAATAATAATAATAGTGTGTGCACATGAGACTAAAAGCTTATCAATAAATAACATTTCAGTGACCTGGCGAAGATGTTCCACGAAAGTTGAGCCAATCCGATTTACATATTTCAAATTTTCCCACCAAAAAAAAGTTCTACGCGCTATATGCGGTGGCAATAATAAATCACAATTCTAACAAAGAAATAGGCACGCGCGTAAGCCCATCACCGCGACCGTATTAAAATATGCGTATTAAGTTAACCTGATCGTGATTGTTCCGTTCGTTGGTGCGTAAGTCTCACGCTGAATTTTGGCTGTCGCTCTGCCACTCGTCCTTTAAGACCAAGATTCCAATGAAAAGAAATACGAAGAACGAAATCCATTAAATGCGTGAGAAATTTTTGTTTGTTTGTAAGTCTTATGTTCTATCAAATTAAATTGAATTGTAACATTTTCAGTTATTTATTTTTGCGCACACACACATAGGTACACCAAAAACTTCCAGACAAATAATTCATTTTTTCCACGAACGATTCTTCTTCTTCTTTTTAATGTTCTCTTTTCACTTCTGCCGAAGAATGCATGTGTAAGACGATTTTGTCTGTTGTGACGATCCGCAGCAACCGTGTTTTTGGTTTGTGTGAATCATCATCGAACGAGCACCACTCGGCATGGAGCCATTATTACGTGATTTTTTTTTATCCCCATTCGGTTCATGTTTTTATTTTGAAAAAGAGGAGAAAGAGAAAAAAATCAACGTGTTTTTTTCCATTCACACTTTTCAAGAACATTTTTGTACATTTTTAATATTTATGTTTTTTTTTCATTGGATTTACACTTGTTTAATACACATACACGCACTTTGCTTGAGCCGCTTCTCTTTTGCGTTCGTTATGTGCTTTTTTTTATTTATTATTCTGACATGATACGTACGAGGCTTGAGATTTATCTACGAACAATTCATATTCTTCAGAAAATTATCGAGACTAAGAAAAAAGAAAGAGAGTGAGAGAGAGAGAGAGAGCGACGTGTGACACAAAGACGAGTGTACCGTCACCGAAAGCATAATTTATTAGAAAAAAATTGGATGAAAGAAATTTTGTTGCACATCTTCATATCTGTTCACTTTTTTTATTATAGAAGAATAAGTTGGCGACCATATGAAAGGAACATTTTGTACGAGTGAATCAAAAGCAAAATAAAAAAAAGAAGAGAAAATAAGAATTTACAACGACAAGGAACAAATAACAATAAAAAAAAGAGTGAAAGTATAAAAAAGGCATGGCGCTTCAAAAAAAATCTTTTGCGAAACGTGCAAATCATGCATTTAAACGGTAGAAAAGCAGCGAAGCTACGGTGAACAAAGTATTTCGGTGGTGGTTGTTGTTTTTATTTTCGTTATATTTTCGGTGAAAATGTGTGCATAAGTGAGTGGTATCGTGAGCATTAAGTACATTTGTCCACAACACGGGTGAATATATCGGAAGGCAGCTAGGTGCAGCCGCGTAGAACATAGCGATAGCATTCATTTTTCACACGCCCAATAGCAACAAGAAAGGAGAGAAAAAAAAAACTCGCTTTTGTTACACGAGGTATGTAAAGGCAGTAATTGTAAAAGAATACAAAACAACAACAAGATATGCAAAACTAAGCAAAGTGATGCATGTATTCTCTTGATCAATGCGAATGGCAGCCTGTTTTCGAAGCTGTCGATAATGACGATTCTTATCTCAATTGAACATTTACAGCTTAACGCACTATCATTCACTCCACTACAATGATTTTGTTGTTTTCTTCCTTTTCTACCCATTGTTCTAATGTTGTTGCATACGTTCGCTGTGTGTATTTATAATGTTATCTCTCTTGTTTGGCCGTTTTTCGTATTTGGTGCGCAATTTTTTTTTCCTCTTTCCCTCCGTCGTCATTGCTGTTTTGTTTTGTTGCACTTTATCAGTGCTTCAGGCTTGATATAAACAAGTACATTAATACAGTGTGCCGACGCTCGTACTGTGTGTTGTGCTGTGTGCATTATTTATGAAAAAAAAGACACAACAATTTATGGGAAGCGTTCCGCATTAGAAATCTACATAAATAGCGACAATACACGGAATGATGAAGAGAATGGCGAAGGAGCGGATTGCGATGAGGAAGATGATGATAAAAAAAAGAGAGCAAAAAGCTGGAGGTAAAACGCATTAGGAGTTCGCATTCATATTTTATCATTTGGAATATAGTCTTTTGTGTGTGTGTGTGTGTGTGTGTGTGTGCGCGCTTTTTTTCGATGGTGCTTTTGCTTCACTACCAATACTATGCAATAGGAGTGAGTGAATTGGTGCTTTTTTTCCACACTTCTATGAATACTTATATTCGGTTATTTCGAGGTCGTGCGATCTGTCATTCCAAATAAATTCCAACCAATTTGAGTATGTTGAGCGCACGAAAAGAGATGAACAATTCCCTTTGATTGAACGCACTTGCTTGATTCCCATTCCTGTAGTACAATCATCACCAGCCTGACTTCTTCCAACACATCCATATATCATACCTTTTTTTATCGTCTTTCGAATTTCAAAGACATCATTCAGTGCGTTTCGTTTTGTTTTGTTCCATTCTGTTCATTTCTTTACATCATTCATTCGTTGCGAATACAATTTCTTAGCATTCACTTTACGTCTTTATCATATTTTTTCTTCTTCTTCTAATTAAACATGCAAATAGCTCGAAAGCCTAGTAATGATAATAACACTCATCATAATCGCAACAATAACAATTGTAGCTGTATTCTTTTTGGCTCAAATGCAGGAGAGAGAGAGAGAGAGAGAGAGAGAGAGAGAGAGAGAGAGAGAGAG